ATCTGCAGATACATCTATATAGAACCATGTGTCCGCAATTGTGCCTTCCCCGGGTCGTCGCTTTGCAGTCGTCCAGACGTGTGTTCGGCTCGCTCGGTGAGCCGTCGGATGTGATCCGCCCAACGCTCGAGACCGTCGTTGTCTTGACCTTGCGATTCTGGGCCATCTGTTGCTGCTTTCGACGCCTGCGCGTGCGCAACCTCGTTAGCGTCTGGCCTCTTGTGTCCTCTGGCATCGGCGCGATCCCCTACCAGAAGCACAGCGCTGCGAACCTGCGCCCGTCGGTGGTCCAGGGTGGCTTTTTGCCATTATTCTTTCTACCATGTTTTTCTATGACCATGCGAGGGGCGCTGACGCACTGCAAAGTGCGAGCGGTGAAGAGCGCATCGTGTTTGCATACCAAGACATATTGTTCACAGTGTCGCGATTCATACGGTGCTTAGTTTTGTAAGGGGACGCGTGCATTGCGCATCGTTGGGTGTAACGCCTGCGGTATGACTGCCGGCCTCTTGACATAGATTGGTCGCACGTGATACGCGTGTCATGTTGCATAGGATCCTACACGCCATCTCGTTCGAATAGGTGCGTCGAGCGTGCTAGCAACATCAACAGCTTGTTGTACGCATGTTCGTCACAATGGTTGGCCCGTGGTTCTGACATACTAACATGAAAGACACGCCGTGTAATGTCCGCCACCATGCCTCGAGCCAGTAGTGGAGCGTCTCCAGGCTCTCACAGCTACGAGTGCTTAGTGCCAGAGGGTTAGCACAGAACCAACCAAGCAATCGCAATAGCATGGACTCCCAGGCTTCCGTGGGAACAGCTACCCCTCAACAGGCCGCGGTAATCCCGAACTGGGAGGGGGGGAGAGGAGATGCAGGAGGAAAGGGCGTACAAGATGCCCATAGGACCCCTACAACTAAATATAAGAATCGAAAGCCATCCTGTTCCCTAACTCCTCGTCTTGTTACGTAGCCGCAGAAGCAAGCATAGAAAGACGGCAGGTCGTTCGTTAAGAGGTGGCCGACACTTGCGTACGACTTGCACCGTGGTAATTGGTCGCGTCTGCCGTGCATGTCGGGATCCTGTCGTCCCTTGTCGGGTGCATGGTGAGATCTGCGATCGTTTACTGGGTTCGTGTCGTCGTTTGTCGGGCGCGAGCGGCCAGCTTGAGAGCGACAGAAAGCCACAAGATCACCTTCTCGCCACCTGACTCCCAATCCACTTCCCTCTCATCCTCACTCGCCTCCTCCTCCTCCGTCTCATCCCCATTCTCCTCATTATCCCCCTCTTCCTAACCCTGCTGCTCCTCTTCCTCCTCCTCCTCCACCTCCTCCTCAGCACCAACACCACCATCATCATCATCATCATCATCATCATCATCATCATCATCATCATCATCATCATTATCATCATCATCACCAGCATCACCAGCATCATAGTCATCATCATCAGCAGCACCAGTATCGTCATCATCATCAGCATCATCATCACTATCATCGGCATCAGCATTATCATCATCACCCCCACCACCACCACCATCGTCATCGCCATCACCATCACCACCATCACCTTACCATTGTCGTCTTCGGCGGCGGCGTCGGCATCAGCATCATCACCACCACCACCATCATTATCATCATCGTCGTCATCACCATCATCTCCATCATCATCGTGACCATAATACTAAGAATCATCACCATCATCACCATCATCACCCTCATTATCATGATCATCATCAGCATCATCATGATCAGCATCATCATCACCATCATCATCATCATCGTCGTCGGCGGCGTTGGCATCATCATCACCACCACCATCATCGTCATTATCAGCATCATCGTAATCATCACCATCATCAGCATCATCAGCATCATCATCGTCGCCACCATCATCAACACAGCAGCACCATCATCATCATAATCAGCATCATCATCATTATCATCATCATCCTCATCCTCATCGTCATCATCATCATCATCATCATCATCATCATCATCATCATCATCATCATCATCATCATCATCATCATCATCATCATCATCATCATCATCTTTATCATCATCGCCTTCTGTTCCTCCTGATCCTCCGCCTCGTCTTCCTCCGCCAACCCTCTTCCTTAGAAACAACCCCCCCTTGTCGCAGCACAAGACGTGTCCGTGGGGCGGGCCGGGCGTTTCGCCTGAAATCCCCGCCCCGCGTAGCAGCCTCAAGCTAATTAGGTTGCCAAAACAATAGCAGTTGGCACAGTGGAAGGCGGTTGGCTTTACGAATGTGACTCTCGCATGAGCGCTGCGCGCACTCCTCTTAGGAGATTCCGGCAAATACCAGGAAACTGCTGTGCTGTCCCACTGTGGCTCTCGCCAAAGCGCAGCACACACTCGTGTAGAAAGTTGCCACCAGTGAGAAGGATGCAGAGCGGGTCGCTCCAGAATGTGGCTCTCGCCTTAGCGCCGCGCGCATTCGTCTTAGAACCGCCAGCGTGCCCAGTGCACGCTGGGGCGTGTTCGCGTGTTCCTCGGCTGCCTTGCACGGGCTCTTTAATGGCATCCAGCCTCCAACAACCACCCATCTCCAGTGCCGATGTGGGGTTATCTTGCATGTCAAATCCGCCGGTCCCTTTGCGGGGCCATCAGGCTGAGTGACGTAGGTGTCCTTCTTCCTGCGCCAATACCAGTGCTCAAACTCCAAGAATATGAATCTAGCTTCTGTTTTCTACCGTAAACTGTCACTGTCCGCGCGAGGGGGTGGAGCCGAAAACCGCTCATCTGCCTTCCACCCCTGGGTTTCTCCGAATTCCGTGGAGGGTCCAAGGGCCTGTAAAACCACATGATACTCGCACCCCAGGGGCCACATGCCTCCGCAAATCATATAATACTCGCGCCCCGAAGGCCATTTTCTTTGTAAAGCAAGCCAAGGTCGCGCTCCCGATGCCAGGAGCCCTCGTTAGCCACACCGGAGTCGCGCCCCCAGTGCCGAGAGCCTCTGTAGATGTCACGGGGCTCGCGCTCCCGAGACTGGACACTACTTTTTTCTGCAAGTTTCGCCAGATCCGCGCTCCCGAAACCAGATTCTCTTCCTCCTCCTCCTCCTCCTCCTCCTCCTCCTCCTCCCTCCTCCTCCTCCTCCTCCTCCTCCCCTCCTCCTCCTTCCCCTTTCCTCCTTCTCCTTTTCCTCCTCCTTCTCCTCCTCCTCCTCCTCCTCCTCCTCCTCCTCCTCCTCCTCCTCCTGTACGCCAGGGTCACCCGCCCGAAGCCAGATTCCCCCTGCAAGCTATACAAATTCAGCGGTCTCTCGAGGCCCGGAATTCCATGCAAATGACGGCACGGATGCGCACTGCCGAGGCCAGAATCCTCTCTGCAAATACGCCAGATTCGCGCTCCCGCGGCCAGCTTATGTGGCAAACTACGCCAGGTTCGCACCCGGCGACCACGGTCCCTCGCAACTTACGCTGCGATCGCCAATCGTCCCCGCATGAGGTTCCGATATTGCTTTAAGTCGGCACCCAGGCATCCTAACATAGCTCTGGCATACCCATTCTGATAGAGAGAGGAATGGCGGGAAGTTCCCGTGCGGACTACACATAAAAGAATAAAGGACCGAAAAGATGCTCCCCCGAGGGCGGTCAAAACCGGCCCCCCCCTCCCGAGGAGGGCAAGAAGATCCCAAACCTAAAAAAAAGTCAGCACACGGCCCGAACATCTAAAACATAGCAAACATCAATACAAACAGCTAGATGTACGCCAGCCAAGCCATGAAAAAAGTTCCACGGCAACCAATGTTGCCCCAAGACGGCCAAAAAGGCCTCCAAGGCGGCCCCGAGATGACCCGGGATGGCCTCAGGACAGCTCCAGAGGCCCCTAAGACCAAGACGGCCTGACAGGGTCCAAAGAGAGCGCCAAAGAGGACCCAGGACACATTACGTATACTGAGGGCTCTGGCACATCTGAATGTCCTGGTCCTCCATGGCCCAAAGCAGCCCACAAAAGGCCCCTGAGACGGCCAAGGGGGCCCACGACGGCCCTCAAAGGCCCTCGAGACGGCCCGAGGGGAGCCCCACACGGCCCGAGAGGGCCACCCCAAAAAGGTCCCCCGAGGAGCCCCAAGGGGGGCCCCGAGAGGCCCCAGAGACCCCCTAAGATGCCTCCCAAAGGTCCCCCCATACAGACCACCACCAGTCCTCCCAGACGGACCTGAAAGGCTCCCGAGAGGTCTTCAGAAAGGGCACACACACAAGTTCCAAGTTGCGCATTCAACCTCCCTCACGCTGCGCTGCTGCTCCGGCGCGGCGGCGGGGCTTGCCACAGGCAGCTGGAGATTCCAACGGCTGCGAGGATCAAGGGCGGGTGTCCTTCACGAGATAGCGCGCGCGTCTTAGAGCCGCGCACCTTCGTCTTGAGACGGCCCCATACATAGGTGGCGAATTACGGCTCATCTTCAACATGGGACTATCGCCTGAGGCCGAAACGGGACTGACGACTGAAGGCCAGACTCATCGGGCGCTAGTCGTTCAATAGAACATTCCCTGCAATGAAAAGGAATGCCTGCATGAATGCATGATAGAACATGGGACGCGACGGCATCATGAAGTATTGATGCATCCTAGACTTGCAATGACCCTCCTCGTCCTCCTCCTCCTCCTCCTCCTCCTCCTCCTCTCCTCCTCCTCCTCCTCCTCCTCCTCCTCTCCTCCCCTCCTCCTCCTCCTCCCCGCCTCCTCCTCCGCCTCCTCCTCCCGCCTCCTCTCCTCCTCCCGCCTCCTCCTCCCGCCTCCTCCTCCTCCTCCTCCTCCTCCTCCTCCTCCTCCTCCTCCTCCTCCTCCGCCTCCTCCTCCTCCTCCTCCTCCTCCTCCTCTCCTCCTCCTCCTCCTCCTCCCGCCTCTCCCCTCCGCCTCCTCTCCCGCCTCCTCCTCCTCCTCCTCTCCTCCCTTCCCTTTCTTCCTCTCACGAGCCCCCCCCAGCTCCCCCTCCCCTCCCCCCCGCCGGTCAGCACCTTTTGGCCGCACGCCGCACCTTTTGGCCGCACCGATCCCCGAGCCCCGCCACGGCCCAGCGCCTTGGACCGCGCGCAAGGCCTGGAGCTGCGCCCCGCCCGGCCGCTGCGCACACCCAAGCGGGCTGCTTCCTCCACCAGCAGCCTCCCCCCCCCCCCTGCTTCCCTCCCCCCCCCATCGGAGGAGGAGGAGGAGGAGGAGGAGAGGAGGAGGAGGAGAAGCAGGAGGAGGAGGAGGAGGAGAGCAGAAGGAGGAGGAGGAAGGAGGAGGAGGAGTGCTCGAGGTGACAGGAGGAACGAGCAGGACATGGGGAACCATCAGCGCGCTACCGACGCCATCTAACCGCAGCGGTGTGTCCTTGCTGCTCTTTGCCCCTCCCGACTATAGCCTCCGGAGCACACCTCACGAGGCCCAGAGGGCCCCAGGGTCTTCACAATGGAGTGCCAATCTGGGGACATCTCGGGCCAGGGGGGGCCTGTCAACACCCGATCGGTGCCTACAATGCGCAGACTTCTGTACGAGCCAACGCGTGACCACCACATGCCTCTTACCCTCCGTCTGCCTTCGCATCCCGTACCCTCTCTTGTGTCTCCCATTCTCCACCATTCCTCTGCCTCCACGTCATACTCCCCCTCGTCATTTTGATGTCCCTCGACCTCATATCTTCCTCCACATCCTCATCCTCATCCTCCTCCTCCTCGTCCTCGTCTTCCTCCTCCTCCTCCTCCTCCTCCTCCTCCTCCTCCTCCTCCTCCTCTGGCTCTCTCGGACTCCTCATTTGCCTGCCCCTACTCCCCTCACCGCCGACCTGGCCACTCCAACCCACTGCACTGAACATGGGTTCAAACTTCATGGAACCACGGGTGTCACATCGCACGTTTTGCATGCATGGTTCAAAATACCCAGGGACGTGGCCAATACGTTTCTACACATCAGGACCGCCTAGTTCCGAAGTCACACAGACGCACACACACACACACACACACACACACACACACACACACACACTCACACATGCGCGCACGCACTCATACATATATACATCCGCCGATCCGGCGCGTGAGTTTGAGAGAGCCTTAGATGTAGCCTCAGCTTCAGTTCCTGAGCTTCTGCTCTGCTGGGGGGTGGGTGCCGGGGTGGCTCTGCAGGGGTAGGGGGGTGGGGAGGAGGGGGCCCCCCAAGAGGCCCCAAGAGCGCTCCAACAGCACCCCCAAGAGAGGCTCATGAGACCAAAATCGTATGTTTTCCGATCGTCTTTGACGGATTTTGACATGCTCGCCTTTTCGGGTTTCCGACGCTCCAAGACAGCCCAAGAGGCCCACAAGATCGCACCAAGACGGCCAAAGAGGCCCCCAAGAGCGCCCAAAACTGCCCAAAGAGCCCCAAGGCTACTCAAGAGGGCCCCAAGACGGCCCAAGAGGGCTCCAGGACTACCTCGGAGGCACCCAAGGCGCTCCGAGAGGGCCCCAAGACGGCCAAAACAGAACCCCCAGAGAGGGAACCCGACCCAACACTTGAGTCTTCCGGCGCAAGAGACTCCCAATAAAGCCCACGAGGCCTCTCAGAGGCCCCCCAGGAGGCCTCAGGGGGACCCCAATAGGCCCCACTCCTCCTCCTCCTCCCACCTCCTCTCTCCTCCTCCCGCTCCCTCCTCCTCCTCCCTCCTCCTTCTCCTCCTCCTCCTCTTCCTCCTCATCCAACTCCTCCTTTTCCTCCTCCTCCTCCTCCTCCTCCTCCTCCTCCTCCTCTTCATCCTCCTCCTCCTCCTCCTCCTCCTCCTCCTCTCCCCCTCCTCCTGGGCAGTCTTGGAAGCCTCTTTGGGGCTGCTTAGGCCGTCTTCGGCCATCGTGAGGCAATCCCTCCCTCCACCTCCCTCCGCCTCATCCTCGACCTACTGCTCCACCTCCCCTTCCACCAACAAGATCGCATCGGGAGCGCCCCCAGATCGGCGGCACTGGCCAGAGGCCACTACCATATACATACAAACATAAATGCATGCATACATACATACGTGCAGACGTGCGTGCATGCATGCATGCATGCATGCATACGCATATGTATATACATGTATACACCTGCATACACATGTATATACACACATGCATACATACATACATACATACATACATACATGCATGCATACATATATAAATACAGGCATGCACACATACATACATTACGTACAACATTACTGGCATGCATGTCTACATACATACAAACATACATACCTACATATGCAGGCACCTACATACATGTATGCATACATACATACATACATACATACGTGAATGCATGCATGCATACATACATCCATACATACATACATGCGTACATGCATACATACGTATACCTACACACATACATACACATGCATACAAATACATACACCTACATATATCTGTATATACATACATACATACATACACGTACATGTATATGCATATATAGACCTACATTCATGCATGCATACACACATACACACATACATACATACATACATGCATGCATGCATGCATGCATGCATGTATACATATAGACATACATGCATACATGCATACATACATGCATGCGTGCATGCATACATGCATATATGCATACATGCATACATACATACATGCATGCATGCATACATACATACATGCGTACATACATACATACGTACATACACACATACATACATACATACATACATACATACATACATACAGACAGACAGACAGACAGACAGACAGACATACAGACAGACATACATACATACATACACACATACACACACATACATACATACACACACATACATACATACATACATACGTACATATATACATACACACCCACACACATACATACATACATACATACATACATACATACATACATACATACATGCATGCATAAATGCATGCATACATACATACATACAGACATGCACACATACATACATGCACACATACATGCAGAGATGCATACATACATGCATGCATAGATGCATGCATATATACATATGGACACACTGACATGTATACATGTGTACATACACTAGAACCACGCGCGCTACGCGCGCTTAGCTACTGCAAGCATAGTCGACGACGCCCGTTGCTGCCATCGCTATGTTTACACATGCCGCTCCGCATGTACAGTCTGGCGCGCCGGAGGTGTTCACCCTTTCGGCGCCTGAATTATATGTCGGATGATTCGTGGGTGTTTGTCGGGGCTTCCTGCATGATCCCATGATCCCCCAGGCTATGCTCAGAAAGCTTGTGAGTCTTCGTGGTGGGGGCTCCTTGAAGTTTCTTCTTGCTGCTTTCAGGGCGCTTGGGCGGCTTGAAAATGGCACTGCTTGGGTATGATTAGGATGGATTCGAAGCATCCTAGAAAACATCAGTCAAACAATCGAAAATCTGTAAATGTTGTTCCGGAGGCTCCCCGGGAAATTCTCCTCGAACCCTCTTGGGGCGTCCACGGGGGCATCTTGGGCCGTCTGGGGGCTCTCCTGAAACGCTCTTGGGGCGTCTTGGGGCCTCTGGGGCTGCCTTGGGGCCACCCTGTGCGTTTTCGGGTGCCGTTGGGACCGTCGTCGGGCGCCTCGGAGTTCGTCGTGGAGTCGTATGGGGGCAGTCTGGGCTGTTTTGGGCGCGTCTTGAGCCGTTTCGGCAAGTTGCTCGGTGTTTATGTGCTCTCTTCGGGATCCTTTTCGGCAATCTTGGAGCGTGATGAGCGCTCCTCTTGCAACACGGACTTCCCAGAAACCTTGAAAACACACTACAAGACTCAAGGCAAATCCCACCAGCCCTTTGGGCGACAGGTGGTCTAACGAGATGCCTCTTCCCTCTTCCAAAAAATCCATCTTCCCCTACGGGCAGGGGTTTACCCCTCCCCTTACCCCTCCCCTGGAGTTTTTCGGGCCCCCCTGCGAGGTGTCAGGGCGTCCAAAACGGCCTCGGCAAGGAAGCCAACATCATTAGTTTTACTAAGTTTGTGGCCTCATTTTGGCCTTTTTGGGGGGGTACCCAACGTTATCCCACAAGCCCTCTGGGCGCCAAAATCATTGGTTTTGATAAGGTTTTGGCCCCATTTGGGCCTCTTTGGGAGGGGAGATCCCACCAACCCTCTGGGCGCCCAAATCATTGGTTTTACTAAGGTTTGGGCCCCATTTTGGCATCTTTGGGGGGGGGCGAACGTTGCCCCATCTCTCTGTTCATCGATGGCCTTCAAGATGGCCCCAAGAGGCCTTCCAGGGCTTCCAAGAGGGCCCCAAGAGAGCCCCAAGAGGGCCCCAAGAGGGCCCCAAGACGGCTAAAAGAGCCCCAGGAGAGCTCCAATACCCTCCCAAAGAGCCCCAGGAGAGCTCCAAGAGGCGATTTTGAGGGCTCCTGGGAGGGGGCCGAAATCGAGGACACCCCATCTTTTGATCGATGCTTTCCTAGATGGCCCCAACAGGCCTTCCAGGGCACCAGCCGCAGCACCAGCAGAGGCAGCAACAACATCAGCAGCACCACCACCAGCAGCAGCAGCACCAGGGATCACACTCTTTGGATCCCTCAACCTCCTCCTCCTCTTCCTCCTCCTCTGCCCGTCGCCCCCACGCGGCCCCCAGGGATGGCCCGAAGAGGCCTTCCAAGGCGACCCCCTTACTCCCAGAGGTCTCTCGGTTCATCCTGGTTGCTCGCTTTGTTTCCCTAGATGTGTCCCTTCGTCCCTTTTTCCGTCAGCTCTCGTGGGCAGGGCTTCTGAATGGGCTGGTGGGGATCCGCGAAGCTTGAAGAGTTGCCTTGGGAGTGCCGCCGGGAGGTTGGCCTGGAGCCTCTTGGGCTGTCTTAGAGATATCTCCTGAAGCGCTCCTGCGGCGTCTACGGGGGCCTCTGGGACCACCCTGGGCGTTCTCCAACGCCTTCGAGGCCGTCTTGGAAGCACCCGGAAGCGGACGTGGACTCCTGAGGTGCCAACCGGCCGCGTCCTGGAGCCTCTGGGCGCCACCAGCCCCCCATCGCCCGCGGGGGTCCCCAGGCAGGAGTCCCCAAGACGCTTCCACGCTGGCGCGCTTCCCCCAAACCGTCGTGGACGTGTTCGGGCTCGGCCGTCGGAGACGGAGTGGACAAGCAAGCTCGGGCAGTCAAGGGCCTCGCGGGAGAGTGGTTTCTCTG